TGTTTCTGAATTTCTTTGGATCTCGGCATGATGTCTAGCTTTTGAGGATCTTTTGGTCTACTTCACTTTGTCAGGCAGGTCCTATTTAAGAGATTTCTTGATTGCGAACAGGTGTGGCAGTAATCAGGCCTGGGTGTGGCTAGAGAAATTGAACTCAGGTGTGATAAACCACAGTTTTAACAGGGGGGCAAATACTTCTTCACACAGGGCCATATAGTTTGGGATTTTGTTTTCCCTTAATAATAAAAACCATGTTGAACACAAATGTTGTGTTCACTTGTGTTATCTTTGACTAATATTTAAATTTGTTTGATGATCTGAAATATTAAAGTGTGACAAACATGCAAAAAAATAAGAAATCAGGAAGGGGGCCAACACTTTTTCACACCACTGTGTGTGTGTATATATATATATACACTACGTGTACTGCGTTAAGCTAACTGAGACTTGTTATAGCACTTGTATATCATTGCTCTTTTGTTGATTTTGATTGCTTCCATTGTCCTCATTTGTAAGTCGCTTTGGATAAAAGCATCTGCTAAATGACTAAATGTAATATGTAAATGTAAATATATAAAAAATGAACACAAATTTTCATATTTGTATATTTGGGTTATTTGAATATTTCAGAATTGCATCTCCATTTACTAATAAAAATGAATAAACTCATAAATAACATAAAATAATAGAATACTAAAAATACTGATTGTATTATTAATCGTATCATTAATACATTTGTAATAATTTAAAATAATTGTATTATTAATCATTAATAATGAAATATTTTGTTTTGTGTTATCTTCTCTGTCACTACTTTTCTGTTATTTGTTTAGATGATTTTGCAATATTTTGTCTAAAACAATAGAAGCAATGAAGTGCTTAAATATTTGGTTCAGAGCTGAGAATTGGGATGAAAATGAGAAGAGAGTTGCAGATATGAAGAACTTGACCTTCAGGGAACCCACTGACCTTTTGGATCCTCTTTCCTGGTTTCTTCAGGAATCATTGTCATGGCACTGCTGGGGATGTTTAACGTCCATCGTCATGGTGCCATAAACTCGGCAGCGATTGTATTGTACGCTCTGACCAGCTGTGTGTCAGGTTACTGTTCCTGCAGCTTCTACACACAGATTCAGGGCCAGCGCTGGGTCTGGAATATTATCCTCACCTCCGCGCTCTTCTCTGGTGAGACACAACAGTCTTCTGCATCTGTACATATAGACAGAATGGGGTACTGTTTCTCACAATGCAATGTGCTCAGTATGAATTTCCATTTCCGGTGTGTTTTAATTTAAAGGTTATTGTAGATACTGTGCAGCATGCTAGTATTTCATTCCAAGTATAGCCCGTAATGATTACAGTGTTTTCTTGTGCAGATGTAACTGACATTTCGCCCACTCACCGTTGCTCTCTTTGTTTTTCTCAATTCTACTTCTTTCTCTCTGATGCGTTTAGCCCCTCTCTTTTTCACCTGGAGTGTGGTGAACTCTGTTCACTGGTGGAGTGGATCGACTCAGGCCCTGCCTGCCACCACTGTGCTTCTGCTGCTTGGTGCCTGGGTGCTGGTGGGTTTCCCCCTCACCGTCATTGGTGGAATCGTTGGAAAGAACAGAGCAGGCAACTTCCAGGCCCCGTGTCGCACACGTAACATACCTCGCCAGATCCCCCAGCAGCCCTGGTACAAACACACGGCTGTGCACATGGCCATCGGAGGCTTCCTGCCTTTCAGGTAAAAGCTGTGAATCTCTGCAGAAGGTTTCCATACAATAGAATATTTTGTTTCATACAAAATAAATTAGTCCAACAAAACTAATTGGCCAAATAAATCTCTCAAAAATTATTATTATTATTATTACTTTTTTTTTTTTTTTGACATTTACGAAAACATTTTTATTATATTATAATATAATATAGTATATGATATTATATTATATTATATAATATATATATATATATATATATATATAACATATAATATATATAACATTTAATTTTTTATATATAATATACTTTTTATATAAGAACAATTGTTTACATTTTTAAAAAAAGATTTTTTTTATTCTTTTATATGATATTATATATAAAACATTTTTAATATATTACCATGCTTTCTTACATGTTTAAAAAGTTCTTATTTTATGATATTTCCTATTACATATGATATAAATATTATATTGTAATATATAATATACTTTTTATATAAGAACAATTGTTTACATTTTTAAAACAATTGTATTGTTTTCTTACATAAGATTTTTTTTATTCTTTTATATGATATTATATATAAAACATTTTTAATATATTACCATGCTTTCTTACATGTTTAAAAAGTTCTTATTTTATGATATTTCCTATTACATATGATATAAATATTACATTGTATTATATTGCCATGTGTTCTTGCATATGTAATTTTTTTAACTGTTCGTTATATATTAAAAATGTTTTATGTATAATATAATATTTATATATAATATATATTTGATAAGAAAATGTTTTATGCAAGTAAATATATAATATATATTTAAAATATTTTTAATATATTATAATATAAAAATATTTCAGCATATAATAATACTTAAGAAAACATTTCGAAAAATATATATTATGTAAGAAATGTTAATAATATATGTTGAAAGATGTATGTGTGTGTGTGTATATATATATTATATTATATTATACTATACATTTTTGTCCCACACAGTGTGCCCCTGCTGTATGCTGTTATAAATATATATAATATAATATTTAAAAATGTTTTTATATATATAATATAAGAAAAAAATTATTTATTTTTTATATTATATTACTCACGCTTAATGTCCGTCTGTTTTTTCCTCTTGACTTTGCAGTGCCATCTCAGTAGAACTGTACTACATCTTTGCCACCGCGTGGGGTCGTGAACACTACACACTCTACGGCATCCTGTTGTGTGTGTTTGCCATCCTGCTCTCAGTGGGCGCCTGCATCTCTGTGGCCCTCACCTACTTCCTGCTCTCAGGCGAGGACTACCGCTGGTGGTGGAGAAGTGTTCTTAGCACCGGCTCCACTGGCATCTTTATATTTGTTTACTCTCTCTTCTACTACCACAATCGCTCCAACATGAGCGGCCTTGTACAGAGCGTCGAATTCTTTGGATATTCCTTGCTCACTGCATTTGTTTTCTCGCTCATGCTGGGAACGGTCTCCTTCTGGGCTTCTCTGGCTTTTATTCGTTACATCTACCGTAGCCTTAAGATGGACTGAGTTTGTTTCCTCTCAAGCAGAGCCCCTCAAATGGGGAAGAGACTCATGGACCAGGTCCTCGTGGAACCCTGCATGTGCAGGTTTTGTGTTGCTGAAGTATCAAACTATCAAAGCTGTTTCTGATGCCAGTCTTAAAAGGAAGGGAATAGACAATGTGACTGACTAAAGACTAATTTTATTTTGTTTTGCTCACCAACACCCTGACACTTAATTCACATATATATATATATATGTTGCTAGATTATATGCACATCAAATACAGACGTATTTGAGAGTCATTTTGGATCGTTTGTGCGGAACTGGAAAGCTTTTCATACTTCAAATGTTGCATACCAAGTATCCAAGACTTGAATGTTGCGTTTTGGATTTTGTTAATGTAGTGAACATGACTAAAATGATTAAATGTCAGTTTCAAAACATAATGGGAAAGAATCAGAGGCCTTCATACGTATCTATTGTTTCAAAAGACCATTGAGGAAATAAAGCACTTATATGTACTGTAGATGGGTTTACTTGATGAGTATAGGTGGATGTTGGTTATATGGAAGGATATTATAATCGTTGAGCTAAAGAGATGTCATATTGTGTTCAAAGGGTGCCGTATACACATTTTGACCAAAAGAGCAGTTTTGGAGTGAAGATTTAACATGAGCAAGCTGAAGAAATGAAGAACTGATTATGGAAGCAATACCATGCTCTAAAGTCGCCATCAACTGTGATCTGTTGAAATGTAAATATACTGTTTTCAATAAAGTCACTTTTATTACAGTAAGAGAAATAAATGGGGGTGAAATGCAACAACGCTGGTGTCTATCATATAAATGTAAATTGAAAATGGCGGTGTTAATTGATTTCAAGCTCACTCTCAAACATGTCTTGCCCTTTTGACCCTTGTTCTTATACACTACCGTTACAAAGTTTGGAGTCTGTAAGCTTTTTAATGTTTTTGAAAGAAGTCTCTTTCACCAAGGCTCCATTTATTTGATCAAAAATACAGTAGAAAGTAATAAGTCGCACCCACTATGATGTGAGCCGCAGAAAGGGGCAGACTTAACCAATAAGCTCCTGCTTAGGGCCTCAGGGAATCCCATCTGATACTGGCAAAACAGATTTGACAAATGCTCCAGTGTGTATTTGTGTTTGATCTGTGGAGAGCGTCAAAGGTTTCTATTTACAACATATTTTGCAGCGTTGAGCAAAGTAGCCAATCACAGACATGAGTGTTGATTTCTTGGATGCAATGGCCAATCAGAGGCATTTAAGCTAGAATCCACTCAACGCTCAAAATGCCAGTTTTTTCATTGCGGAGTTCTGTGCGGTCACGAATCCTCTCATTAATTGTAAAAAACAAAGTGTAGACACGGTGTAAAGAACATTTTGCATGCAATGTATACAACTAGGTGGATTGTAAAAACTTCGTGAGATCACGAAATTAAAGTGAGTGACAGCTTTTTAGTTATTTTGAAGGAAGTGCTCTTCGCATGCTTTCTCGGTTATATATAATACAGAATTTCAATACAAGTTTTGTTTTTCAGGCTGTTAAAAGGACCAAAGGCCACATACGCGCTGCAAAATTTTGGGAGTGACATCCGCATATAAATGTGGGATTCACTCCCGAAACTGCAATCCATGGAACAAAAATATGTCAAATCAAATGTGTGCCTCACATATCCTAAAAAGTGAAGTCAAAACATTTTCATCTGGTGGCTGGCTGCATATAGATTATAAACCCCACCCTCCTCGTGTAAACAAATAGAATGTAATCCAAAATTTCAAATAATTTTTTCCCCAAAGATGTTCTCCATCATAGGTGGTTCTTATCACGGTGATGTTAAAAGGGTTTTGGTTTTCCCAAATAAGTTGTTTTTTTTAGGTTTTTGATACTATAAAAACGGTGTGGTTTCATGATTGGGTCTGTGGGAATTTGGACCGGACTTCGATACTGAGGGTCCAGCCTATGATCAGTACTGCACAGACTCCGAACGATGTCAGATACATGACGGTGGCCATATCTGGGATATTTTGGCTTCACTTTTCTAGTGTAAGGAAGCGAAGACGTGTGGCCATCACTTCTTACAGTCTGGGTGTCAAACTAGATGTCATTAAGGCTAGAGCAACCTCAATGTTTTGATTCTGGATCCAGGCCTGCAAATGTCAAAGTCATTATAACCCAATTTAAATTAGTTGTAAACTTCCATTATTAACACAAAGAAAATAATTACTGTTAGGTATAGCATACTATACGTAAGTTCATGTGACAAATGTCTGACAAAAATATTCACCCCAAGGAAGAGAGTATAGACGTGCCAAACATTAAGCGGCATGGTTAAAAACTAATAGCAAATAACGCTTAAAGACAGAAGTACATACTCGTTTATATATAATCATTAAAAAAAAAAAAAAAAAAGACAACCGACTCAAGTTGAACTTCAGATCAAATGTATTGCTCAACTGGGTCAAAAGTGTTTGTGTGGGTGGGAGTACTTCAAGCACAAGCTTAAATCAGTGGCAATTACAATGTTTTGTTCCATTTGTACAGACAGGCATGATTTTTTTTTTTTAAGAAATTGTACAAATGTAGCACAGATCACATGCATTGAAGCAGTGAAACGCAGAGAAATTAATACACAGAACAAAACAGTGCAGTACAGACAACCTTTTCCCGTATCAGATCTAGAGCAGTGCCTTGCATATATACAAATTCATGTAGCTCAAAGTCAACTTGTCCTGACTAAAAAGAAAACAAGCATCTGAAAGAGCAAAGGATCAAGATATTAAATACTCTGAAAGGTACAATGAAGTTATAAAAATAGATCTCCGGTATAAAACATGCGGAGTGTATTAAAAAGGCAAACTTTACAAAGAAAAACAAATCTCGAGACATGTCTCATTTGGCCCCAACTGGCAACCCATGACGTCACTGCCTAAAAATATGACAGTTTGTTGCCAAAAATAAAAAAAATTTACAAATACAGTGAACGCCCAAGGCTGCAGGGGGCTGAAATTGAAAATGTAAAAGCAGCCGGACTCACAGCAAAGTCATTTCTTTCGTTGTCCACTGGGCGGCACCAAGCATGGATGGCATTTGAGTAGGGCTGCCTTCTTTGTTCACTGCATCGCTGCTGTCACGGGCTTGCATGTAGTTAGCAGGGTTGGGGAACTCGTAGTGCGTCACAGCTGGGGGCAGAGGCCAGTTTCCCGGGGGTCTTGTGGTGGCCTGGGGAGGAGAGCGTGACTGTGGGTAGCTGGGGTAGAAGGGTGTTTGTGGAGGACTCCTCTTGAACACAGACTCTCTCACCTGAGGGTTACTGTAGGGGTCTTGGGTTGCTCGAGGGGTTTCAGTCTGAAACTAAGAAAGATGGGGTGTTAGAATGTGCTTTTAACTTAAACAAAAAAAAAACAAAAAAACCCCCACCAAACATGGGTCATTTGTATCATCATGCCTTTAAGACATTAACCAAACTACTGAAATGCCTCCTTTGTAGATGATAACTTGCTCTACGTCCAAAATGTTCAGTTCTGCTAGCATCAAGACAGAACAAGTAACAATGTAGACACTTTAAAATGTTGTTCCAAACCGGTATGACTTTCTTCTGTGCTACAAAGATGGTTTTAGAAGAGAGAGAGAAAAAAAAAAAAAAGTTTTGGACCCTTTGAATTTAATTGCACAGAGGGGTGCAACATACACTGCCATGATTCAGTTCAATATGGATTTCACAATACTTTAAACAAAGCCAAACAGTTTAAATTTCTTTTAATCATTACTTCTAAGAGATGCACTGATCCTTTAGAAATCATTTTAATATGCTGATTTGGTGCTTAAACATCTCTTACCAATGTTGAAAAAGCAATCCATTTTAGTTTCGCATTTTATTAAATGTAAGCAACCTTCCTTGCACTCAATGTGCATCAATTTTTAAATGTGAATAAAAGCCCAAATTAAAGATGTCTTTCAATCTTAATCTACACAATACATGCTGTTGCCATTCATGATATTTTTTTATTTATTGTATTGCGATATCATGACAAACCACCGTCCCACCCTTAATAAATGGTTTGACATGAAACTACTCACCTGAGAGTGAGGAGCTGGTGTGCTGGGTACGGCATTGACGACGTATCTCTCCGTCATCCAGCTACTATCTCTTTGATGCCTCTTGAGTTTCATCCTACGGTTTTGAAACCACGTTTTTACCTTTGGGGAGAAATAAGGAGTTGATCATGACAATCTACTAAAACCTCAACCATTTCAACATTCTCTTTATAATCACCAACCTGTTTGTACGTTAGTCCTGTCGCTCCAGCAAGCGTCTTCATCTCTGCAGGCGTGAGGTATCTCTGGATATTAAACCGGTGGATGAGGGCATTCATCTGCTCCTCAGAAAAGGCAGCCCGAGTCTTGCGGGTCTGGGTTGGAGGTCGGGCTGGAGATGTGGTCAAAGCAGGCAGGGAAGGCAAGGCTTCCAACCCCAGATTGAGACTCACTGGCTCCTCTTTCGCTGCAGAGACGGAAGATGAGATCTGTTCTCCACTGTCAGGACTGCCACGGTCCGTTTCATAGTCCCGATCTCCCCAGGATGGAATATTGAGGTTGGTCAGAGCGGCCCCCTCACGACTGCTGCCTGAGCTCCAGGAATCTACTCAAATGGAAAATTAAAAAAAAAAAAAAAAAAAAGTTGTAGACCATTACAATTGGTACAGAAAATTTGATGAACCAGTTAAATGAGTTTATAAAAAAAAAAAGTTGCTTGCAATTTCTTTACATGCAATTATAAACCAGAACACCTCAGGGTAGCTTTACTGGTATCCAAAAAATTAAACACTAAGAAATTGTTTTTGGTAACTGAAAAAGCACTTTTTTGAAATAAGTACTTACTAAAGCAGCTCACTTAAATTAAAAAAAAGACAAAAGCATATTACAAAATTAAAGCTTAAACTTATTCAAAATAAAAGCCCATTCAAAATATTAAAAAAAAAAACATTACATACCAGAAACGCATAAATAATTTTTTTAAAAGTCTACATTAAAGAGTTCAATGTATACCTAATAAAGAAAAAATATGAATTTTCACTCAGAAATTTCTACTAAACCTCACAACAGAACAGGAAGTAAAATTTAATTAGATGTGAAACTTCAAAGTAGAATCTGGAAAAAAATAAACACATACATACATACTTACACATACAACAATAATAACAATAAAATAAATAAATAAATAAATACCATTTTAAAAAAATTGGTTGATTCACAAATTAGAAGATAACTTTTTAAGGTGAAATTGTAAATTATAAGTAGCTCCTTGGCTGGGGACCATTTTAGATTAAATTGTTCTAACAATTTAGTGAGGCTTTAGGGTCATTGGAGGGTTACCTGGCGTATGGGCCTCTGAATCACTGGGTGCATCGCTGCCGGCCTGCTCTGCATCTTTCGCCTTCGGATCGGGTTCAGTCTTATTATACGAGAGGAAGAGCCGTCCGTTCTGCGCGTGGCTCGGGCACTGGCCGTAGCTGCTGGCACTGCCGTTCTCCGGGCTCCAGGTTGGCGACTGCTGTGCGGTTTGAGCGGAGTAATAGGTCGCGGTGACCCCGCCGGAGTGAGTGTACGCGGCCTCGGTCCAGCTCAGATTCGGCTGGCCGTGTTCAGACACTTGTGGGTACATGAGCCCATATGCATACGCATGATAAGATGGGTTGAAGTTGTAACTTACTGGCATCTTCCAGTCCGCCATTCCGTCGTCAGATAAACGCAGAGTAGACAGCAAATGTGCAGAGTAGGGCCAAATAATGACCTAATTTACAACACCCGACTACAAAAAGTCACAGGGCTCAACTACCCTCGAAAACGAATGTCGGTGACAGCTCTCCTCATAGTCCCGCAAACAGACCCCTTGACATGACCAGGTGAAAACGCGTGGAGAAGC